CTCTGATACCCATCTGGAACATCCTCTGCCCTGTGTAGTGTGTTCTGTGTAAAATTTTGTACTGTAAGTACTTTTTGTACTTGATTTATATTGTGTCTCAAAGCCCACATATTTCTAACACACGACTCTAAAAGTTTATATCTGAATGATGAGCACTAATCAACACGACCTCATGAGAGTGGAGTTGAACACACCGGCAAAAATAACTGCCAATTTTTGTCAATGCGGAACTGCTTAACTTAAATAGGGTCATACAGATTAATATTTTAAAACTTTGTATTGTGTCGTGTGTCGGTCCTTTAAATGTTCAGCTATGTTTGTGACATTTAGCCCATTTCTATTGTGTGTGGCAAACTTGCATATAAGGTTGCATATGTCCTGTGGTGTGTCTTTAGGCACAAAGCCAAAGTATCTCCAGATGACACTCTGGTTGCACTCTTTATTAAGCGCAATGGTGAAAGTGCTGCTGCATTTTTAGTCACACCCCATGTGTGAGACTTTGCACTCTGGTGCATTGGTAGTCTATGATCCCCAGTGGTCAGAGCAAACTTGAAGTGCAGGCTATAGAATCAATATCATGAAAAATGAGTATTAAAATAGTTTTATACATGTTGGAACCGATACGTATAGTATGCTTAGTACTTTTGACAACACTGGTTGTATTTGTACATTACAGTATGACATTCACTGGCAATCTGCCCATTTTTCATCTTGTGAATGAAATACAGATTTTTTTGGAAAATTTGTATTTTTGGTGAGAACATTTTATAGGGCATAAGTGGCAATATATTTAGAAAAAGAATCATATTCTCATTTCATATTTTCATATACAATCATGTATTCATGGTGACATCTATAAATTTAATCTCCCTTTCCCTTTTCGCACCCCCTATATCAGAACACTCCCATCTTAGTGTTTCAATGTCGGGACAGTGCAGCCGCGCCAAACATGCTGGACTCTGATCCCAGTAAATTTATTTTGGTTTCATCTGATCAAGGAATGTGCTACCAGTATTCATCAGGTCTCTCTTCAAATTTCTTTGCAAAGTTTAGTCTTGCAGCGATGGTTTTCTTGGGCGCTGTCCATAGAGGTTGACTTCATGTAATGTCCTTTGTATTGTTTGACGGGTCATCGCACATATTCTATTCTTTAGGTGATGCTTGACTTGGCTATGTGTGACTCAGAGAAGCAACTGTCACCTGTTTGGGTAAGCTTGCTGGACAAGATCTAGTACGGCCAGTGGAAGCACAGAGTAATGGCTGCTGACTGCTTTCTCGTGCCTAACACGAGGCGACCGCCATGATGCTTTCTAGGAACGGCCGGCTAATACCAGTGTTTCTGCCGTAACTTTGCAATCATGATCGCTCCTCTGACAAGGTCAAATCCCTCGTGCGTTTGCATGGACACTAGAGCGTCAGGAGTCCTTTGAGCATATAATGCTGCCACTGTAATGTTGCAGTTCTTGCTGCTCCTAGCTATGATGAACTGTTTAACCTGCAGCTGGATGCCAGTGCCACTGATGCTGGAGTTGTCCTACCACAGGTGGATGATGGAGGAATCAAACACTCCACTGTTACTTGTCTAGGAAATTTGATAAACGTCAGTGCAACTACTCCACAATTGAGATGGAATACTTGGCACTCTTATTAGCGTTAAACTTTATGTGGGCTCCAGCCCTCAGCCTGTAGTGGTTCTAACTGACCACAAACTAACCATCTCGTTTGCAGAATTACAATCAATGTCTGATTCATTGGTCGTTGATAGAGGAAAGCTATAACATCGAGATCTGTTATAAGAAGATATGTGAGAATGTTTTATCAGATGCGTTTTCCCACTTCCCTCAATTCTGTGAGTCACTCATTTAGCTGAGGAGTTTGTTCTTGTGGTTGGGGGAGTTGTGCTTGTTTTTGTGTAATCCTTTTTCCTTTATTGTTGCCCATCACTTACTTTCTGCTTCCTCTGCTAGTTGGACGCAGCAAATGTAAAGATGCCCCGATACAGCAGGAGAGAAGATGCAGAGAGACACCGCAAGCTACAATATTGTGGAGTTTTTGCACATTGACCAAATCGTTTTGCTTAGAACTGTTGCTTTTGATTAATTTTCTACAGTTTCTGATCTCTGCATAGTTGTAAATGGCATATTTGTAATGCATGTCTTTTGCAAATAGTACCTGTGCTTGGTATTTCTTCTCCAACTCCACCGACACACAAAACCAGAAGTACCAATATGTTACCTCCCAGTTCCCCTAGACGGTGGTTTTAATGGAGGTTGTAACAATACACAGACAGTGAGTTTAAGAGTTCTGTACCAAAGGGATTTGGTTAATTTAGACCAGGTGGCCTTCAGTATTCTGGTCTTTTTCCATTTATGGTTTGTCATGTTACTGAATAATATGAGAAATATGTTCATCTGTTTGTGCTTGAAGGAATATCACTTTTTTGGATCTGAACACTGACGAAAACGACCTACAAGGCCCATTCAGGAAAATTAATGTCTAAGTTCCTGTGGATGAATGGTCTTTTTTGGACCCAATGATTCGGACACGGCATTAATGCATAGAAGAGTCACTTCCTGGAATAATGACACCATCGGAGATGAAAGCACTTTAGTAATACTTAGCGCTGTGACTCATGTAGACTACAGACCACTCTGCATCTGAGGAAGTCCTACCTTCTGTCTTTTTTGCAGCAGTCTTTGTCTTCTTTTTGATGTCTTTCCCTGCTGGTTCTGCCCTGTCCTTTGCTGTTTTCATTTTCTTCACCCTCTTTTCATCTATTTAAAGGTGTAGTGTGAGAAGAATGAAACATGGAGAAGACTGTTTACCAAACGGTATGTGGATGAGATGGTACAGATCTCTGGCCATCGGCAGTATTTACTACCATTCAGTTTGGGGGCCTCCTGTTGGCCACAAACGGTTAGTACATTAGGAGCGCCTTTGAAATTATTTTTTTTAGTAGAGCCTCAAACAACAAACCCGCCCCTGTCTCTATCTACATGTACATTTTGATAAAATGTCCCACAGATCACATGGTCTCAACACTCTCCCTTTCTTCCCTGTGAAATAATGTACTTCCTTAGTGGCACATAGTCCAAAAAGCAGGAGGCTCTAGTCACTTTAAACCATGAGTCCTCAACTATTTTTCCCTGAGGGCCAAATTCTATCAGCAACACACAGCCAAGGTCCACCACACCCAAAACAAAATAAATAAATACTAACTGAGGTCCCCTGATGATAAAATTCGCAGACTAGGGGGAAATGACCTCACAGTCAGGATGCAGACTGGACTCCACCAAATGGTGACTACTGCTTTTAACCCAGCAGGGTGTCGATTAGGGCCGGGTATTCCCAGCAACTTCACGATACGATACGTATCACGATACATTCTGAATGATGCCTAAATAACACGTATTCTGAACAGCTGAACGGGTCGTTTATTATTTTTTTATTTATTATTTTGAGGTCCACAATTAGAACAAATATTGTTTATGGCTTTCATAAGAATTAAAAAAATACACAAAACAAATACGACAAAACAGCCTGTTGTGACAAACTTAAATGTTGCTTGTACTGGCAGCTATGGCTTAAATGATTTCAGATTTTTGTGTAGAAACAAAAGTTGATCCACGTGTTCTGGTTTAAGAGCACTTCTCTGAGCTGTAACTACATCTCCAGCTGTGGAGAATATTCTCTCTGCAGCTACACTTTCAGCCAAGTTGGACAGTAGAGGGAAAGTAACTTGGTGCGTCCTCCACCAGCTACGTGGATCACCAGAAAGAGTTCATGGCTGTGCCTTTCTATATTTTGTAATCTCATCCAGTGCCTGATCATGTAGTGACATAGGTGAGTCCTGTGTCTTTGGAAGAGACTTAACTTATTGAAAACCTTAATAATTAATAAAAAGCTGTGTGAAATGGTGGAATGTAATGGTCTCATGTTAAGTTTCATAAAGATTATCTTATTTGATTGTGCAAACTGCAATGAGCTTGGTTAGTTAACAGCATAACACAAATAGCAAGACTTATAATGCAGTGGCACATAGCGTTTGTGTCAGTCATGATTCTCATCCCACTGTGTTTGCTGTTGGGGAGTAAGAAGCCCATCAAAAAACGGTGCAGATCGATCTGGCGTTTATTTAGAAAACGCCATAAAGGCAGTTACTGAGTTACCAGAAACTCTGAATCATTTAGTTCATAAATAGTGCTGGCAGAAGTCGTTGTGTGTTGTGTTACTTTCCGGAAAGTTAGGATTTGTTTGTGAGAGATACAGAGTTCAGGGGAGTGACAGGGGCATTTAATAATTCCCGCAAATCCAGCGTTCATAATGCGGGACGTAATGCACTTAAACTACCATATCAGTAAAAATGAATACCGGTAAAATGGAAAGATAAATTTCACTTTATATATTGTAAGTATAACAGCAATAGTTTGCGGGAAAAATAAACTGTACACAGCATGACCACTGAATCGCCTTATAAGGTGATGTGACGCCACACCTCTGACCCCGATATACCCCCCCTCCAATGTTAATATAAATCCTAAGCTCCTGGCTGGCACCCTGCAGCTGCACTGCACACTGCACTTTCACAACTGCCGTCGCACCATTGGATAACCTGCCAAATAGAAGCTCTTAAACTGGCCGTATCGAAACAGCACGTCTGTATCGATGCGTGTATTGTCTAAGAGTATGTCACGATATTTTGCCGTATTGATTTTTTGAGCACAGACCTAGTGACGATGTAAAAATATACAAAATGGCAGTTGGCAGTTCTCCGTGTAACTCCTGTTTGTTTGTTCTTCACCTCAAGTTTGTTACGAATTTCGTACATGCACATCTCGTAACTATGTTTAATTGTTGTGTTATGCATGAAAGTATTTATGTGTGTATAATGTATGCATGCTATTTATGTCATTTATGGAAGCTGTAACCAAATTTTGTTGCGTATACTTGCATATTTTGCTAGCACAACGACAAATATAAAAATCCTTGATGCTTAATTGACGGGGCCGTACTTAGCGAGGCTGGGCTGTCCTCCCCGCCGGCGGGGTCCTCCTTCTTTTTGACCTTTGACCTTTTCGGTTTGCCATCAGAGCTGTTGGCTTGGCTCTGACTCGTCTCCTGCTTTTTCTTCTTGAGCTTCTGCAGAGCACGGCCTGCAGGAAAAAGAACTCTGTACAATTTTGCCACTCCCCAAACGAGGCTGCATGTACAGAGGTGGCTCTCGCTAGACATTGCGTTCCTGTTGTGTTGCCCTGTTCATTCGTGGTGGTGGCCGTGCAAGTCACTTCAGTGTGTCTGTAGGCTAAATAAGTACCATAAGCAGTGGCAGTATTTACCACCACTCAAGTCGCGGCCACATATTCCGCGTAGGCCATAACTCGATGACGACCTGCATATGGTTTTCCCTATGACTCAAATTCATTGTATTTTCCCACACTTTCGTTTAAAAACAATAGAAAGTAAATTACTTACCATTATTCAGTTAGCACAGGTTAGCAATGGGATGGAACACATTTAACAGTTTGTATTAAAAATGTCAGTCACACAGTTAGACACCACATGTTATAGGAACACACGTGCATTTCCAAGTTATTTGAAGAATTATGAAGAAAATCTATTGCTATACTTTAACTATAAACCTAACTGACACTATACACACTATTCACAACCGAATGAAATATGAGTTTAGGCGATAGAACCAGAGCATGTGAGCGGAGCGGAGCGGTGAGAATTTCCGCTCCTCGCTCACGAGGCTGTTGGCTCCGCCCGCTCCTCCGCTCTAATTCGCACTAAGCCGCTCCGCTCAACACCGCTCCTCGCTCCACTAAAATGTCCTCCCGCTCCAGTCAAATCGCTCCACGCTCGCTCCAATTTAAAAGAGGAACAAATAACCTGCATGTCTAACAAATGTCACCTTAAACCGAAGCCTTATGTCATAAAGAAACTTTACTTTACTTTATAGACTTGATATGCTACAACCATATAAAACTTGCACGCGTTTTGCTCTGGCTTCCGCTTGTTCGCGTAGCACACTCATGTTTCTGAGAAAAGTGATTCCAAAGTGAATCTTTACTCACTGAAACAGTTTCACCACATTGTTGTTCTTGCTGTACATTCTTGTCATCTATACGTTTGATAATAATAGTACACTTGTATGATTTATCAGTTTCCTTTGTGAAATACTTTGCGAATTCCATCTCGGCCAATTTGTGTAACAGTCTTGATAATTGTACAGATGAATTCTGGGTAGATTTGGGCACGCCTCAGAATTGTAGTGTGAGCGGTATCGGAGCGAAATTGGAGCGAGACAAAGCGACTGCTCCAGCCTTAATTAGAAAACCCGCTCCGCGCTCTGACCAAATTCCGCCCGCTCCGCTCACATGCTCTGGATAGAACCAACGTGGACATTTTTGGTGATGCTGATAAGCACAATATTTTTGTCTAATATTACCGACACCAGTAACCAATATTTGGTCACCTGAGAAACTGATTGCAATTAAACAACTTTTCCAGTAACTACGAATATCAATATCAGCCAGCAATATCAAGCAAGAACGACACAATGATGATGATGTCTTCATTTTTAATGAACATCAACCAGTACCGATGTCATAACCAGTATATTGTTCATCTCTGGCCATCACTATTACTATACAAGGTTCTGGTTTTAGGAGACCACAGTGGCCAGGAAAGTATCTCCTGAGTCACAGTGCAGACAACATCAACAGCTGCCTCTGAACCTTGAGAAACAGAATGTTGGGGTCCTGACCTGCCCTCCCCCAGCTTGACCTGAGAGGTGACGGAGCAGCCTGATGAAGCTGTGGGGTTTAGGCAGGTCATAGGGCTGCCTGAGGTTCAGCTCTGCTCTGAGTAGTGCGACTGCAGCAGGATGACAACCCAACTGGACCCTTCCGACTGACCCCCGAGTGCATTAAGTGACCATCTGCTGGTGAAGCTTCATTGGAGTCGATCATTTTTACACTCAGAGATTAATGCACAACATTAACTCAAAAAGGCCAAGCCCAAGTCTCTATAATGTGATCTTCAGCTGTATGTTGCTTGGAAACACTGTTCCTCATTAGTCATAGTGATAACAAGAAATAAGTACAGAATATGAGACATTTAAACATGAAATAACAAGATATGGATATATGTCAGTAAAATACAGTTAAAAATACACGTGTCAAAATTTGGAAACACTTCCAGTTTTTAGAGATTGCAGCATTTTATTTAGCTTTTGCTCCAGTTGCTTATTTAATCGTCCAATGTATGATATTTGTATCATTCTTTTATTGCTTATAAACATTACTTCCAGTATTTGTGAAGTAATTTCTAAAGCGCAATGCCAAAAACGCTAGGTGTTTCCACAATTTAAAAATACAGTTGTGCAAATGAGCAATGGAACTGAAAATGCACGTTACAAATGCACTGTCTGCTGTGATATTTAGGTCTGGGAATATTTTACAGGCAGACTTAAAAACTGTTGAAACAACAAGACCACCTCTGGAAGGTAGAAAGTCAAGGTTACTGGATAACTGGAAACTGTAAAGCTATGTTACAGAAGTCATTACAGACACTGTGCAGTGAAAGACAGTGTTCCTAGACAGAGCACCCCAAGTTATTTGAGATTTCTGCTCTACAGGTAAATGTTCCTATAAACTTGTGCTTTGAAAGTGTAGGTATAAAAAATGAAGACTGTAAATCTCAGCACTGTCTTACTTTGAACAGATCATAGTTCAGTTATACATTCATACAGTTAACATTAGCAAACAGGAGAACATGACATTCGTACATTACTGTGCAGACTGCTGGGTCATTCACAGGCCAGAAACAGCTTCTCTTTCCCAAATAAAGCAACCACCAGCCTCACTGCAAGATGCATGACTGACCAGGTCAGTGTGTTTTATAATCCAGGAGCATCATACACATCTCAATCACTCAACAGATGCATAGATGCTGAATAAACCTGTAAAAATAAGGCTCTATTTCGTAAACAAAGAAGAAAAAAGTGTACATAGGTACACCTAGAAGAAAGGGTAAACTGGTTCTGAACCTGCAAATCCACCTACAGTATATGGATATTCAGTTTTTGGTCTTGATCCAGGAAGATGTGTTGTACTACGATAATGACAAAGACAGCTGTAGGCCCTTGTACCCCACACCACAAAATTAATTACCTGTTTGAGAACTTCACAATGTAGACAGTAAGTTTCCAGCCAAGTTATGTGGTGCTGGGTGTCTGAGTATGTACAGCGACAAAGCTGTGCTTTATGTATAACTAACTGCAACTATTTAAATCTAATGGATTTCAAGGATACAGTACAATAAATCCACAATAAAACCGAAATTCATTTATGCTCGGTGGCTTAATTATACACTCTGTGCATAGTCTTGCCATGTTCTTTTGATGTCTGTCATTTTATTGTTAATCCATCCATCCATGCATCCATCCATAACTTCTTCATGGTGGTAAGCCAGAGACAACCTGGATGGGATCTTGATGTTAGTAAAATTTACACTGAACTATGAAAACTTACAGTAAATTACAGCAAGACACAAAGTAATATATAAGAATTTGTACAGGTGGACAGTCAGTTTGTGTTAAAAGGATATGAACTGTGCTGATGTAATCCATGCCACTTCATGTTAGCTGCCCTCAGAGAACAACTGATCAGGATTAAATCTGCATAAGCGGCTGAGTCTCTATTCTTTAAAATCCCTACATAATCTCTCCTTAAACTAAGCTTCTCTGTGCCAGTCAGTTTTATACAAACGTGTCTTTACAATGCATTGCAATTGTTAGGAGGGGGTTGGTGTGCTTCTGCGGTTGCGACTTGTGTCCTTGGACATAGAAGCAATATGTGTTAACACGGCATAAATGGACCCTCTTGTGTCATGAGATCAAGTAGAAATATTCACATAAATCAGAGCCAATGCCAGCTCTCAGGCATCTGGCGCGACACTCATGCTTTCAGGCTCTCATGTTCATGCAAGAAATCTTACGGCAAATCTATATTATTCCGTTATAAACCTAAAAATAACTTTCATCGAAAGTGCTGCGGTAGTTTGGAAACCCTACAGACTATTTACAACATAAGAAAACTGTTACATACATGTAAATTTGTATGCAGACTTGTCTCGAATTGAAAATTTCACTCCAAACAGCTGACCAAAGTTGGCAACCCTGCGTAAATGTGTTTTTTTTTCCCCACAATTAATATGTATCTATTACACGTCTGATGTTAATGACCCTAAATTCTAGAGAAATGCACTTATAAACATCCAGTATTTTTCTGAGATATAAAAGAGGGATTGTGAAGTTCATTGAAACGACACTAATCTTCATCCGGACTCATCCTTACATTCACTGCTTTCACGGCTCACCGATCAGCCCAGAAACCTCCCACAAAAGCAGACAAGTATTACACGATTTATAAAAGCATGGTTTTATTAGATGGAATCTCTATATTGCTGGCATTTAATAAATACTAAGAAAGAGTGAAAGTAAAGGCAATTAACCCAACCCATTTTGAAAGACACTGACACTTTTAGACCTTTCATGTTTAATCGCCTGTCGTACACATTTTAGACTTTGCAAGCTGAATTGCACATACACAAAAAGCAGTTTGTACTCTACATCTCACCTTTATCTATGTCGCTACATGTTGATTATTTTCATCTTATTTTTATTTTCATCTCAATTTTACTTTTATTTTATTTATTGTTTTTTGACGTCCTACTGGTGTGTTTAGTTGTATACTTTATGCCACCAAATGTACCAAAAAAAAATTCCTTGTACTTTTCGTACTTGGACGAATACAAGAATTCTGATTCTGAATCTTTAACATAGGCTGGGACATTCTGGTTTCATTTCAGCAGCTCATTATCCAGTAACCATTTCGGTGTTAAACAGAGCGATCAAATACATTGTCAGAACCTGGAGGACTTAAATTATGACCTTCTTAAATGATGCACTTCTCTGAGCTACAATCACAAATCCAAACACAGAAAATATGCAAGTAACCGTCATATATCAAGATGATTCGATGTATATGCACATTCAAATAATTTGAATAGGCTGATTATCACTCTGATTATCACTTGCTAACTTCTTGTGAAACATGCGCAGGAACCAGGAACTGCAAACACAGCAGAAAGAGACCAAATAAAGCCAGACTTTAGAGACAATGACGGAGGAGGTTGATTCTTGGCATTACCTTCTCTGTAGACATAGTCAATTTGGAGACATTTACTGTGCGGAAGGATCTGGTCGGTGTAAAGTCCAGTGCAGGTTAAATATTAAAAAGCTGAATATTCATAATCAGGGTCTCAATGTGATCACAGGCAAACTGAGGAGATCAGTGAGTCTGTCATGAAGGGAAGTTCATTATGGGATTGTCTCTAAGTCCACATGGCGGTGAAGTGATCGGTCTGGACCAAAACTCTGATAGAGGGGGACGCCACAGAGGACCATGCCATCTATTAGTGAAGTCAGAGGGCTCAGTCAGTGCAAAAGCATCACGATACACACCTCAATGTAGTGGGATTTCACTT